AATTCCTTGATGAATGTATTTTATTCTCCTTGTGTACACTGTTAGCATATGCACCAAAGACAAATTCCTTGTGTGTCCAATCACACTTGGCCAATAAAGGATTCTATTCTGTTCTATTCTGTTCTGTTCTATTCTATTCTATCTAAATGAGTATAGACTAACTCCAAGTTTAACATCAGACCAACAACCAAGTAAACAACACTTTAATCAAGGAATTGCCAAACAAGCCAACAATAAACAATCCAACAAAAGAATCTCTAAGACCATCTCCACCAACACTGACAGGCAAGCCATTAAAATATAAACTGAGAGCATACCTGACTCTTTACTAACACTGATGATGTTACCCAGTTTGGGTAAGAAAAGGTCTATAAGAAAACAATCAAGCTGAGAGAACACCAAGGACTCCTAGAGAATTGCAGCATGGATCTTTCCACAAAGAGGTCAAGAAACAGACTCTTTCCAGATTTTACCAGGCCCAGCTTGGATTATCTTGAGCTTTTCCATACTAGAAAGCAGACAGGACTAGGACGCGTCTGACCTGATCCTAACCTGAAAATGGCTTCTTAAAATTATGCACTTCCCTATGCTACTCCAGCATTCTCCAATTACTGCTCTGCAAATGGTTTGGGAATTAAGTTCCCAGCTTAGATGGGATGTTTAAAAAGGCTTTGGGTAAGAATGCAGCTATCTTCTTTTATGTCAAACAGGCATCTTGTCTGGTTAACTAATTCCATTCAGTAGCCAACTTGGATACTGGTGAGATTTGCTGAGTGTCAAAGGAAGAACTTTTGCTTGGAAGTATTTCTGCTGTTCCTGGATATATTTCATGCAGTTCCTGTCATCTGTTAGTTAGCTCTGTCCTCCTTTACGAGTTTGTCTGTTTACTATTAATAAGGCTACCTACTTAGTAAGCATTTATTTGATAGATTCCTGCCTGTCCGCCAGTAGTAATTATTTATTTACTTAATAATCAAATGTATACAGCACCTATCTCACTAAGCGACTCTGAGCAGTTTACAAATGAAAAGTATACAGTTCCCACAATAGCTCAGTAAAATGAGATGGGTTGAGCTTGAGTGATTGGCCCATTCCTCTGGGGAGCTTCCATGGCTGAGGGGAGACTTGATCTACCCACTCCATTCAATACCTTCACCCCTCTTGGTCCTTGGGGTGAGAGATGGGACTCAGCGCAGAGCCACTCAGGTAGCTTCTGCAGTTGAAGAGGGGTTATACCTGAGTCTCTCCAATCCTAGTCCAACACTTTGAATCACTCTAGTATGCATGATCATCATGTTACTATGATGAGCCATGGTGGCGCAGTGGTTAGAATACGGTACTGCAGGCTATGTCTGCTGACTGCCAGCTGACTGCAGTTCGGCAGTTAAAGTCTCACCAGGCTCAAGGTTGACTCAGCCTTCCATCCTTCCAATGTGGGTAAAATGAGGACCCAGATTGTTGGGGGCAATAGGCTGACTCTGTAAACTGCTTAGAGAGGGCTGTAAAGCACTGTGAAGCACTATATAAGTCTAAGTGCTATTGCTATTGCTATTCTAACTTGTGCTGCTGGTTTTCATCTTTCAATATGTTTGAACAGCAGTTGTTCTACATCATTCCCCCTCCCCTCCACCTTTTGCAAAGACAATGGTAGAAGGGAAGCTCTGGTTCAATATAGCCAGATAAGGAGAAGCTATTGTCGGCCCAAAGAAATCTGCCCGTGAGCTCTATATTTGGCTTTGCCTGACTTCATCAACAGGTGTGCAAAAATAATCCTCATTATCCTACCTGTCTAATGCTGATTTCTTTACTTGTCTCTTCCCAGGAAAGCTTCCGAGAATTCTGCAGCTGGTGAGTCACTCCTCCTCCTTCTTCTTTTGAAAAAAAAAAACCACCTTACAAAAGCATCAATCAGGCTTAAACCCCCCCCCCCCATCCCTGAATTTATGTAGGTGGTCCGCGATGTATGAAGGGAAAACCTGGATCTCATCAGATGGATTCATTTATTTTATTGATTGTTTTTTCATATTTGTATGGCCACCCATCTCACAAGTACGTGACTCTGGGTAGTGTACAACAGGTAACTAAAAAAAGAAAACCAATCAATATATCAAAACAGCCATTATTAAAAACTAAAAAACTCAAGACCAAGAAATAATATTAGCCACAGTCAGGGAGCCATTGCAGGAGCTTCCCCATCTTCTGGGAACCCACATCTCACAAGTCTGATGGTATAGCTAAGTCTTGAGGAACATGCAGACTCATACAATATATTAGCCTAAATTGTGGCTGTAATCATGTGTACACACCAGTGGTGGGTTTCAAATTTTTTTAGAACCTCTTCTGTAGGTGTGGCCTGCTTTGTGGGAGTGACTTGCCAACCATTGACCGGGTGGGAGTGGCTTGCCAGCCATGTGACTGAGTGGGAGTGGCTTAGCAGTCATGTGACTGGGTGGGCGTAGCCAACTTGTAAAATGTGGTGAAACTCACTTAACAA